CCAAACGAGTAAAAACACTGAGATTCCTGAGAATCAGAGTTCTTACTGTATGAGACGGGAAATACAAACATAAGAAGGGAGGTGAGGAAGAATTCAGTGGTATTAGATAAAATAATTATTTAAAAAATATACTCTAGCCATTTCTAAGCTCCATCCATTGGAAGGTCCTAAAAAACAATGTCCTTAGTAGCAATAAGCGCACACCTGGATCTTGGTTTTTTAATATCATTTTCCGTTAAAATGAAGCAGAGCTCTTTGGAGAAAAGACCGATTCCATTTCTGGAACAGGAAAATACAAGGTGAGTTGGGAACTTCTTGTACCATTAAGTAAAGAAATGCTGCAAGATTGATGGGAAAATACTAAAAGACACAGGAGCCAGCTTACATGGGGCTTCCACTGGTTAATTTAGGAAAATTTAAACATTCAAAGAATAATGAGGGTAATGGATTGTAGCACATATGAAAAAAAATCCATCGGTCCACAGTGATTTGAAAAGAATGATGAAAGAAAAACAATAGGAGGAAAGAGGAAAACTCTTCTTTACTGAAGACTGATACCTAATAAACAGAGAATAATCTTATCATTATTAAAGAACTCACCATATTATAATACAATCATCAATGTAATAACTGACTGATAAATTAGCCATGAATGGCACTACTTGCTGAAAGTTTGCTGGTAACAGGTATTTTAGTCCTTTTGAGCTGCTATAACAAAATATCTTAGACTTGGTAATTTATAAACAACGGAAATTTATTGCACACAGTTCTGGAGGCTGGGAAGTCCAAGATCAAGGCACGAGCACAATTCAGTTTCTGGTGAGGTCCCATTCCTCACAGATGGTACCTTCTATGTGTCCTCACATGTCAGAAGGGTAAAAGGGCTCTCTCAAGCCTCTTTTATAAAGGCACTAATTCCACTGAAGAGGTAGCAGCCCTCATGACCTAATCACCCCCAAAGGTCTTACCTCTTAACACCATCAGTGGCAGATGGGGGGACACAAACATTCAGACCGTAGCAATGGGAGAGTTACATAAGCCTTAAAATATCACCTCATGGACTACTTATTAATTACAATAAGGAAAAGAATACTTTTCAATCGAGAAATATGAAGATATTAACCACATAATCACACTTACCGCACCAATAATGGAACAAACCCACAATGTTAGTCCTGATATGATGCAATGGGAAATATCACCTATGTAGTATTCTTGCCAAAGCTCTTAAATCCGATTCTAACCATGAGAAAATACACAAATCCAGACTGTGAAGCATCCTACTAACAAGTGGCTTGAAGTCTTCAAAAATGTTACTGCCATGAAAGACCAAAATAAAAAAGTAGAAAAATTTTCCTAGTTTAAAAGTAATCAACAGACATAAATGCAAAACATAATGCTTGGTCTTTGATTGGATCTTGAGGGTTTTTTAAAAAAACACATTATTGATGAGACATTGGGGAAATGTATAATTTTATTTCCCCAATTTTATTAGAAAAGCTAATTTCTTAGTATTATTGTATCATGCTAAATTTCTTGGACATAATGATACTTTGATATATAGGAGAATGTCCTAGCTCTTAGGAGTTGCATGTTAAAGTATTGAAAGTGTCATGGTATCTGTAACTTACTGTCAAATGGTTCAGAATTTTTAAAAAGTATATTCTAAATGGCATGTGATATACTGGACAAGATCTTGCAATAATAAGATATTACTGGAAAAACTAGTAAAATCCAAATGAAGTCTACAATTTTGTTAATAATAATATTCCAATATTACTTAGTTTTGACAACTGAACCAAAGTTACTTAAAATGTTAACAAGAGAAACTGGGTGAAAGGTGTACAAGAACTCTCTTTACTAAAGATGCAACTTTTCTATACAGCTAAAATTTCCAAAATAAAAAGTTAATCTTAAAAATCTGAATTTTAGGCCGGGCGTGGTGGCTCACGCCTGTAATCCTAGCACTCAGGGAGGCCGAGGCGGGTGGATCACTCAAGGTCAGGAGTTCGAGACCAGCCTGAGCAAGAGCAAGACCCCGTCTCTACTAAAAAATAGAAAGAAATGATCTGGACAACTAAAAACATATATATAGAGAGAAAAAATTAGCCAGGCATGGTGGCGCATGCCTGTAGTCCCAGCTACTCGGGAGGCTGAGGCAGAAGGATTGCTTGAGCCCAGGAGTTTGAGGGTGCTGTGAGCTAGGATGATGCCACGGCACTCACTCTAGCCAGGGCAACAAAGCGAGACTCTGTCTCAAAAAAAAAAAAAAAAAATCTGAATTTTATTTAGAGAAAGACAAAGCAAATATTGGCAAAATATTAACAATTAGTAAATCTAGGTGATAGATGTATGAATGTTTATTAGCCAACTCTTTCAACTTTTCTGTAGGCTTAAAATGTGTCAAAATAAAGTATTAAAGCTACAGAAAGTTAAAAATAAAAGACTGGAAAAGATATTCTACAGAAATACTATGCAAAAGAAAATTGGTATTACTGTATTGTTAGACAAAGTAGGCTTTAGGAAAAAAAAAAAGAAAAAGTACTAAAAAGAAACACTTTCTAATTAGAAAAAGTTCAATTTACCAGAAAGATGATATAAATTCATATACATCTAATAACACAAGTCTCAAAATATATAAAACAAAGACTATCAGAAATATAAGAAGATATAGATTAAGCCATGCTCATGAAAGATTTTAGTATACTTCTCAAAAACGGAAAGAATAAAGAGAGAAAACAAAACAATAAGGATATAGATTTGAACAATTCAATCTGCAACTCTGACCTAAAAGACGTGTATGGGACTCTAAAATTGCAGAATATACATTCTTCTCAAGCTTACATGGAACATTAGTAAAGACTGACCATACACTGGGCCATAAAGCTTATCTCCAGTGCTGGAAGGAGGCACAGGGCAAGCTTTCTGTGGTGCTGGCACTGTGCCAATCCCTCACTGGTTGGTGATTATACAGGTGTTTGCTTTATTGATAAATTCCTTTTTTGGAGGTGGGAAAGACAAAAGGTCCATTTTTTAGGTGTAAATTATGTATTTTTGTTGTTCACTCTTTGTGTATGTACATTATATTTCAAAATTTTTAAAAAGCATTACAATTCTTTAGAAAGGCACTAACATACTATCAATATAATAAACCCAATGTAGCCTACTTTTCCCTCAGCATTCAACTAATTGCTGTTTCTTCAGCTGAGTACCAGATGAAGTAATGGGCTTATCCGTAGAGGCCTCCTTGTACAAAACTTATGTATCTTTAAACATGAGAAGCATTTTCAGCCAAGCAAGAAGCTCATTTTAAGAGAAACACACAGCAATTGAGACTCAGAGAAGAGGGGATCCATAAATCCCAACTCACATTTAATCCAAAGTAGTACAGGTTCATAGGCTCATTTAATAAAATGGGCATAATCACTCACGATATTAAAATTAGTTTCCTTTCTTCCTTTTTTCTTTTTGGCCAAGCATATACTATTTAATTCACCTAAGTTAAACAAAGTAGGCTGGTTTTTACACATCAGGAAGCACTGCTTAATTTTGGGAACTAAGGCTATGCAGATAGAAGAGAGCAGCAAAAGAATCTAGAGGAATACAAAGAAACAGTTGCCCCAAAGGAACATGATTATAAAGAACATGATTATAGCTTACAGTAATCTTAAACCAATACACCCTGGTATATTCGGAGTCGTCTTCATCATTGGTAACATTTACTAAAGGCTTACTACTTGCTAGGCACTATACTATATTTATGATTTTCCTAGATCGGTTCATCTAAACATCTCACAATAGGCCTACAAAGCAGGTACGATTATTAGTTCCAGTTTATAGATGAAGACAGTGAGGCTCTGAGTAATTGGCCAAGATCACTCAACTAGCAAATGGAAAAACTGGAAATCTAACCTAGCTACTCTGACGTCAGAGTATGTAACCTTACCCCACTATGCAATACAGCCTGCGCCCAGCAGATAAATGATGATTTGTACTTGATAATTTCTGAAGGATCTTTCAGTTCTAACATTCTACGATTTACTTCAATAAACCTATGATAAAACATTCACCTAGGCCTGGTAATCTTTAATTGTGGAGAAAAAAATAAGAAAGCTCAATAAAATCTGTTTACATGACCTCAAAGTCAGAATTCAGGTTCCCTTGGGTTATCAAAATGGGTCTTTCCCCATATTAAACCCATCAAAAAAAGAAATATTTTTCTTCTGTTAGTCAATGCCTTACATTTTTTCCTCATATGAAAGATAGATGGCACAGAGAATATTAAAACACATTTCAGCAAGAATAAAAGAAAAGAATGTTAATATAATCATAACATAATCCTTAAACACAATTGGATTCAAGACAAATTTGGTAAATGCAGATTTCTAGGGGGGGAAATCCTCTTTTAAAATGCCTAAATTTAGTGTAAATGAAATAAACGTATAAACTCTTTGATATTAGCCTTGAATATTGGTTGTTATTTGAACATATTAAAGCTTTAAAAAGCCTCACAGAATGTAGAACCTGTTTGTTCTTCATACAAAATAGTGATCATAGTCAAGTCAAAATATTCTCGTTTAAATCATTGTGAGATTTCCTTTCATAAAAACACAAAACTGTCTAATTTACTAAAAAAAAAAATAGAAAGAAATACAGCTAACTCCACAAATGAATATACTATAAAAAGCTGCTAGATATTCCTTAGCTTTCATAAATAGTATAAAGTATACGTCATTAAAAAAAAAAAAGTATGGCACAAACCATTTCTCTTAGAGGCCCAAAGAAGGAGAAAAAAATTTATTAGGTCTGGGAATTAAAGATAACTTGGTATAATTGTGGTTACATGCAGAATTTAATGGTTAGACATAAAATCTATTTGGTCCAGCCTAAGGTTCTCATAGCAAGTCAGTAGGACCAATCAGAGGAGTAACAGTATCACCAAAAACCAGAATAAATCTCTAATTTGCATGAGTTTAATGAACCAGATAGATAATTGTATCACCAATATCTGCCCGTAGCCCATTTTCAGTGAGATGAATTTTCTTGCTCATGAGGTCCACATCGAAAACAGCATGTTCAGAAATAGGGGTCTTCTCAGTGTGCTCTTTTCCCAGGACGGGAACTCGTCGAGGTCCCAACAGTGGATCATCAAATCTCATCAGTTTCACTTTGGAAAGGTCTACAGCAAAAGAGATTATCAATATGAGCACTAACTAAAGTCGGTGAGTCAAACCTATGAATGAGTCTAACAATTCACGTTTTAATCACACTGACTGTTACATCTAAACAAAAATATTTTCATCAAATTATTAAATAGGACCCAATCTCAGGAGCAAAGTCAAAATCTAACAAATCTTCATCCCCTTTCGGCTTTTACCCAGATCAAGTTGTCAGAGATTCTGTATAACACATCTCTTGGAATTATAACCTGAGAGAGAAAGAGTTGAGTGTATTTTTCAGCATCATCCTATATGGTCTCTCAAATCACTTTTTATATGCTTCAATTAACCATTCTACAAAATGTCAAAAAAGTCTAAAACTTATTTCTTTTCTTGTGTGTTTCCTGGAATACATTAAACCTGCAAGAATTGTAGCTTTTCTTGGAGATCCTTTTGGAGAAATTATTACTCTAAGAAAAAGCACTACCAGTTTCTTATTTTGCCCAAAAGATGAAAGCATTTGTATAAAGTTGATACGAGATAAGGAGAGAAGGAGGAGGGCAAAGGGAAAGGGCACAGCTTCTAGAATTTTAAGCTTTAGAATGAGCTCCGATATCTATCCTGCTTGAGATTTTTCTGATCTGCTCTTGTGAAAGCTGGTAAGAGGGCTCCTGGCAAAAAAAAGCATCTGTCTCTTAAACAAATTTATGATCCAACAACTCTGCAAACAACTGAGCCCAAGAGAAATTTATTTCAGTAATTCAGAGACTTCCCAACAATTTTATTTCAGATGGTGGAAAAATACCAGAAATTACTAAAAATACTAATTCTGGGTTTATACCTCATTCTAAGTGTAGCATGGCTAGTTATGCTTAACTTGATACACAAAAATAGAAGATATTTTCTGAAATACTTCCTACTCCTTTCTGAAACAGATCTCTGGGTGGTCCGTGAGCTACACTCCCTCATGTTGACTCAAGAGTATGAAGCTTAGCATGAGAGGAATAAGAGATAAAAGGAGACATTAATGCAGCTGGCATCTTGCCAGACATATAAGTTATCCATGCATTCTGTTCTCTTTGGGAAACAAAAACTGAAAGACTAAAAGTTTTGAGATGAGATCTTGGGGCTTATAGAGCAATTACCTGAGACTACCACAAAAGCAAACCCTGTCTCAGAGTCTCTGCAGAGACCATACAATCCATTCCCTGACACAGCATAAGCCTTGAAAATTAAAATGGGAAAGGAGCAGGCAGTTTTCATGACAGCCATAATCTTATTTTGGGAAAGAATATAATTCATTTTAACAGCTATTGCAATTCAACTTGCACATCAGAAGTACCAAATATTTCACTATAGAGGCAATGACAAGTCCTGCCAGCAGATTTTAGGCATAAGGCCTTTTACTGCAGATCTGCCTCTCTCTCTCTCTCTCTGAAACAGACCTCCCTGGTTATTCCAAGCAATTGTGAATCAAACTATTTCAAAGAAACCTTAATACTCAATCAGACTTCTAAGTGACAAAACACATTTGCTTTGATGTTTCACTATGTAGTTCATTACTGTCAATAAGTTCTTGGAGCTTTCTTAGTGATTTTACTATCTTTTCTTATCCCAGACCTCCCTTATCATTAAAAACATTGACATTTAAGTCTGTAAACACACAAGATTCAAGACCCTTAGAGAAAAGACGAGAGTGACTGAAAGTCCCTAGGGATTGATAATGTGAAATGGAGTCTTTCACCTCCAAGTTGTTAGTTCATATATGGCATGGGCTGGGAGTGATTTAAACTCATTATCATCAAATAGTTACTCAGTGGCCTTTGTGGAGCGAAAGGATGGTTTTAGTATAGTTCCTCCTGGCCCAACATCACAATCAGCTTCAATATAATTGGCACTAATTGGATGACTTGCTGGCTGGCTACTGGAGCAAACAGACCCAGAACTATGGTTACTGAGTTTAACTCCTCTTCCATCTCACATGCTCAATATACTCAGCCCGCTTTCGGAAAAGTATCAACGTTAGATCTCTTTTGCAGATACTTAAAGGAATATCAATTTCAAACTCTCCTTAATGTTTCTATTTTCTAAAATTTACAGTAGCTACTAATACTAAACTTGAAATACTTTATGATAATATTATTCACTGCTAATACGATAAAGGAGATAAGAATTATGCCAGAGGCTCAGTGAGAAAAAACAAGAGATAGTAACACATTTCAGTACAACTCTGCAGAACCTAGTCAGTGCTGTATCTCAGTACATTAAAAAGGAAGACAGATTTAACATCATATAATACAGTTTTTAATACAGGAATACATCCTCTCATGTGCTACAACCTCATAATAATCCTATCCAGTGGGTCCACACAAATACCTATTTTCTTTAAAAGCCTTCAAGGCCTTGTTCTTCAAGGGTAAGAGTTCTTACAAAATCTTCTCAATATAAAATAGCCAAATGGCAGGCACGAAGTGGCTTCCTATATGTTCACATTTCCAAATTTTCAAGTTCTGCTTCTTATGGTTTATAAGTTCTAAGGATGGTACCTGGTATAACTGAGGGAACATAATAAATGCATATAGCAACATGGATGAATCTTGAAGACATTTTGCTAAGAGAAATAAGCTAGACACAAAAGCACAAATACTGTATGATTCTACTTATATGAGGTACCTAGAATGGTCAAATACATACAAATAGAAAGTAGAATAGTGTGGTGGGAATGTAAATTAATACAGCCATTATGGAAAATAGTATGGAGGTTCCTCAAAGTATTAAAAATAGAACTACCATAATCCAGCAATCCCACTACTGGATATATGTCCAAAGGAAATGAAATCAGTATGTTGAAGAGATCTGCATGTCCGTGTTTATTGCAGCACTATTCACAATAGCCAAGATATGCAATCAGCCTACTTGTCCATCATCAACAGATGAATGGACAAAGAAAATGTGGTATATTTACACAACGAAATACTATTCAGCCATAAAAAAAGAATGAAATTCTGTCATTTGCAGCAATATAGATTAGCCTGGAGGACATTATGTTGACTGAAATAAGCCAGGCACAGAAAGACAAATACCCACATAAGCTCGCTCATATGTGGAATCTAAAAAAGTTGATCTCATGGAAATAAAAAGCAGAATGACGGTTACTAGAGGATAGCTAGGAAGGATAGGAGGAGATGGCAATGAGGAGAGATTGGTCAACAGGTACAAAGTTACAGTTAGATAGAAGAGTAAGTTCTAGTGCCTAGTAGGGTGATTATAGTTAACAATAATATATATTTCAAAATAGCTAGAAGAGATTTTTGAATGTTCTCACCACAAAGAAATGATAAATGTTTGAGGTGATAGATATGCTAATTATCCTAATTTGATCATTATACATTGTATACATGTATTGAAACATCACACTGTATCCACAAATATGTACAATTATTATGTATCAATTAAAAACAAAGCTTAAAAAAAAGTAAGTGGGTTACCAGGGACTGGGAAGAGGTAGAATGGGGAGTTACTCTTTAATGGGTACAGGGTTTCAGTGTGGGATGATGACAAAGTTCTAGGGATGAATGGTTGTGATGGTTGCAAAACAATGGAAATTGCACTCAAAGTCACTAAACTATACACTTAAAAATGACTAAAATGGTAAATTTTGTTATGTATATTTCACAATTAAAAAAAAGTCTATAAACAATAAAATCTCTAACCCTAGTATACTGCTAGTGACGATGCTCCATACACAATGAAACAAGCAACTGGTATTTCCTTCCTATTAATACACCCTTCTCCCCTTACCTTCACAGGTATAATTTTCAAGGCCCCATCCAAACAATATTTTATCCATAAATTCATACCTGATTACCACAGCTGGAAATAATCTCACCTTTCTCTGTGCTGTACATTTTATCTGCATCTTTCTTATTGCACTCAACAGCTTCTCCTCAGATTATGATTATGGGCACAACAGCTGAGTCTCCTATCCCTTCACTAGATGCAGCTCCCAATGCCTCTGTGGACTCCCCAAACCCCTAGTACAAACATAGGAGTCTCTACGTACACAGTTGTTTATAAGTACACTACATGTGGTAGTCTCTCAATAAATGTCCACAGAATGGAGATGAATAACTTCAACAGAACACAAAATAATGGTAGAATGAATTCCAAAGGGCTATTTCAAGTCTTCTATTTTAAATGGATTATTACTAACCTGAATATCGTTCCATAAATTAGGTCACTGTCTGAGAATTTTAGTAGAAAATTTTTATAGTGATAGAAAGTGACCTAATCAACTTTTTTTTTTTTTTTGAGACAGAGTCTCACTCTCTTGCCTGGGCGTGAGTGCCGTGGCGTCAGCCTACCTCACAGCAACCTCAAACTCCTGGGCTCAAGCGATCCTACTGCCTCAGCCTCCCGAGTAGCTGGGCCTACAGGCATGTGCCACCATGCCCGGCTAATTTTTTCTATATATTTTTAGTTGTCCAATTAATTTCTTTCTAATTTTAGTAGAGACGGGGTCTCGCTCTTGCTCAGGCTGGTCTCGAACTCCTGAGCTCAAACAATCCGCCTGCCTCGGCCTCCCAGAGTGCTAGGATTACAGGCGTGAGCCACTGCGCCCGGCCCCTAATCAACTGTTCATTGCTGTCAAAAAGAAAAAAGAAAGATAATGCAAAATAGAGAATCTCAACATTAATTTTTCTTCAGAGTTCAGAAGAAAAATAATACACACTAAGGGACACACTAAGTCCCTTCACACTCTGCTCAGCCTAAGACCTGGCTGGATGATGAAAAAGGAAGCCATAAATTATTACATTGAATCAAATCACAGAAGATGTAGGCTTAATCTTGATAAGAAATTAAGATTATTTAGGCACATTGTTTAGACTTTAGAAGAAAGAATATGAGCTTTGAAGTCAAATAGACCTGAGTTTGAATTCCAGCTCCAGGATTTACTAGCTGAAAGAACTTTTCAAATTACTTAGCCTTTCTGAGCCTCCATTTCAACATCTGTAAAAGGGAAATAATAATAATAACTTCTATGTTGTAGGGCTGTAAAAGGATTAAATGGCTAATATATGACACACTCAATAATTTTTACTGTTTCTCTTCCTTTCCCAGGAACAGACCGACCTGGGCAGGTTAGTTTAGAATATTAAAGATACATGTTCCTTAATTACAAATACTTCTGAGAGACAGAAATCACTTCTTATAAATTTACAGCTAGGTGGAGTCTTGGAAAAATATCTAACCCAGTGTCCTCATTTTACTAAAAGAAAAATCCATTTAGAGCTTAAGCCAACCATGGTGACTCATGTCTGTAACTCCAGCACTTTGGGAGGCCAAGGTGGCAGGATCGCTTGAGGCCAGGAGTTTGAGACCAGCCTGAGCAACACTGTGAGACCCTATCTCTACAAAGACTAAAAAACTTAACCATGCACAATGGTCCTAGCTACTTGGGAGGCTGAGGCAAGAGGATTGCTTGAGTCCAGGAGTTCCCGGGCCGCAGTGAGCTATGATCATGCCACTGCACTCCAGCCTGGGTGACAGAGCAAGACATTATTTCTTAAAAAAAAAAAAAAAAAAAAAAGCTTAAGTGACATGGCAAAGTCACCAAGCTACCTAGCCATAGAATCCCACAAAACACATAGGTCTCCTGATTCTGGGCCCAACATACTTTCAATAATATCACACAGCTGTCCCTAAGAAGCTAGCTACTTTTCTTTTCCCCAACCCTCCTGCTTAAAACTCATCAAATCCACAAGCTACTGCCAAATGTGAGTTTCAGGAAAACCACTTACCTTTGATTCCTCGGTCCATTTTCATTAAACGCCTAATTATGGAATCACAGTTATCTCCTTGCCTGATTTCAATTTTGGCTGAAAAGTGGCCATTGGATGGCTGGGGATTCACTAGGGAAACTGACACACCAGGCTAGGAAAGAGAAAATAGCTGTCATAGAAAATCAAACTTGAATACTTACAAGGGAGGGGAAATCTCTGCTACATTTTTAATGCCCAGTGAAAGACAGATCTAATTCTGGTATCCTAAAATCATGACCAAGGCATACTCAAACATAAAAGAAAAGCTGCACAAGTTCATGCTTATAGGTATTATATGTTTTTAGGTTCAATGCCTACGTAAAAATGACTACAACTATATATATCAATACTGATGATGCACAATTACAATAATCACATTTTCTCTTCTATAATCGCCATCATTCACTGAATTTCTACTATGTATCAGGCATTATACTAAGCACTTTATAGCAATTAGTTTCATATCCTGAAAGGTAATTCCAGTTCTCTTGGACTCTTTTTTCACAAATGAGAAGCTGATCACACAGCTGGTATGTGTGTAAGTGGCAGGGATTAAACCCAGTTCCATGCCATACTACCTTTCACATTATAGAAGCTATATAGTCAAGGACTCTGTTTATTATTAAGCAGAGAAAGTCAACTGAGTCTTGTGAAAGACTTAAATACATAACATCTTAATGGAATACTTGAAAATGGTTTGAAATAAATACATTTGTATAAGAAACACAAATTTCCTATACCTATCTCCATGGCCCAAATGACTGTACTTTAAAAAGCTGCCATATCCTGATGTAATGAGAATATTGGTTACATGATGATAAAATTCAGGAAGTATCCATGATCACGATTACCTTATTCTTTCAAAATAGACTTTTTCTGTTTGCTAGGTTTTCAATTAAATATGGTAAAAGTAACAGAATATATCTAAGTCCTCTGCTTACCAAGAAAAGGGCATTTTATGGACTCTCATGATTGCAGTCCCCTGGACTTTGCCAAATGCTGCCGATCTGAATGGATACTTTGAGACTAAATAAATGGAATTTTCAAAACCTCTAAATCCTATTTATCTTCACCAATAATGGCCAAAAAATAAGAGGGGGAAAAAAAGCAATTCCAGCATACCTTAAGATCATACATCAGTCTGGTTTATACCAAAAACCAAAAAGCATTAAAAAACAATCAAAGCAAGACTCATCTGAAGTTTGAAAACTCCTTTTCACTGTTTAAAAAGGTCTACATTTCAATTTCTACTGTATTTTTTCTAATAAAAATCAGGGTTTGAAAATCATATTTTTATTTTTTAAACCCACAAATAACATCTGACAACACCCATAATAATAAAGTAAGGAAAAAGTAAGTATTGTACCAATCAGGGAATTAGGACACCTCAAGTCCAGCCTCATTTCCAACAAATGACATGGCCTAGAACAAACCAATTACTTAATTTCTCTGGATCCTCCTTCCTTCCATCTTTAAAATGATGGGTTTAGATGTAATGATCTCTAAGGTCTCTTCTAGCTCTAAAATGCAGTGATTCAAGTGAGATTCCTTCAACTTACTTCTGTTCTAAAAACATTAAGTGGTTTCCCAGGACAACAGTCTTCCTTGACTTTATCTTCTGCTTCAGAGGCAAACTTGACTTCTATGTGTTCTAGCTAAATAGAGGGGAAAAAATGGAAGTCATTAGTATTACTTAATATGATTGAAATTAATCATCACCTCATTTCACTAAAAGCAAAACTAAGTTCTCCACTTAACATGAAATGGTCTATGCAATTTTATTATTCTCCATATAAACATTAAATGAAATCTGTAATTAGTTATTTAATACTCAGATGTTCCATAGTATTATTTATATAGTCGTGTTTACCATTTTCTATAATGAAATCTGGTGTCTATCTGCATATAAGAAAAATGGGTATCAGCATATAAAAGCCTTCCCCTTAGACAAGTTCAGAAATTTATCATTTGAGAACATAAGGCTTCCATTTAAATAAATGGAAGAAAAGCTCAGAAATATACCATACTACACATGCCTGAATATAAGATGACTCTCAATGTAAGGTATATCCCCCATTCTCCAAGTGAGAAGATCCAAGAAGAGTTTTTTTTAATCTACATGAATACATATGAACATTTTGAGATACACATAAAACAGATACCTGTAACTATTTATCAATTTCATTAACTCATTTAAGATAAAATGCTTATTTAGAAATAACTTTCTTCTATCTCCATATTTCATGAAATAATTTTATTCAAACTCTAAACCTACATTTTTTTTTACTTTAGTGTCTTCGTAATCACTAGAACCACTTTTTCAGTCCTCTAACAGTTCTCTAGAGTGAATTATTTTTCCTTCTGCCTAAGTCATCTGAGAGACAACATATTTAAAATCTATATATAAAGTTATGACTAGGGCAGAAAGAGGGGAAGTTACAGATATGTGAAAGCTATTGGTACTGTTTTATTCTTGGATTGGGTAGTGGATTCATAAATGTTCATTATTTATCAATTTAAAAAAAACAGAGCCAGGCATGGACCAATGATGATATATCATGAAGCACACAGATTATAATTAACCCAATTCTATGAATCTGAGGTCTGAAAGGGAGGGGGGAAAAGAAGTAATTCAGAGTACTCCATAATATGAAAGACTTAGAAAGCATTTGAATATAAGGTCTCTCTTCATTTTTTTTTTTGAGATAGAGTCTCACTCTTTTGCCAGGGCTAGAGTGAGTGCCGTGGCGTCAGCCTAG